TATTATTTAATCAAATTGTTAACTTTACTTGCAAAAGTCTTTACTACCAAAATATTTATCAACTATTTTTTAATATTACAGAAATCCAAGTATTATTAGAAATTTTCTTATTACTTCAAACTTTATTACCTACTTTAATATCCTCTATTCAAATTAATAATACATCAGATAGAAAATACAATTCTAACCCCATTATACCAAACCAAACTTATAAACTTACAAAACCTTTTCCTAACTATATCTACAAATAATCTATATTTTTACTTAGATACTTCAATACAAAATACCAGATCACCAAATATTTAAGCAGGAATTAGCTAGTTTCTAGAAAACAATATACAAATTAATTTCTACTTTGCATTAACAAATATACAAAATACCAATCATTTAGAAACTGAACTAATTATTTATCTACTTCTAACACTTTCAAGTAATATACATTTCTATATCCATATGGATAATAATACAACAATAAATAACCTTCAAAATCTTCTAACTAACCAACTAATTCAAATTAAACAAGAAAATTGAGATTTTCTTTATATTATTAATAATTTTCTTAAAATTAAAATATTATATACCACTTTCTTTTGCTCTCGGTAAAGAAAGAGAATATGAAGGGAAAAGCTTTGATGGGCTGACAAAGTTTATCTAACTTGTATACAGGTTGGTGCGACAAGTCGTATTTGGGCACTTTAATCGCAGCCGGGTAATGTCAGGCTCGCAATCGCTAGACGCCTTTTATAGTTATGAATGATATATATTGTTCGAGAGAGTTTAACTCTCACCTAAATATAGTCTTAAATAAATTAAGCATTGGCAAGACTGTCAAAGAATTAAAAATATATATATATATATTATATTCACTATACACAAAACAGAATCTTATTCAAAAAAACCAAACTCTCTACATAATTATACTAACAAACTAGCAAAAGAAGGTTGTTATCAGCCAAAATTAAACTAAATTACAACTATCTAATTTCAATATCTTACTTTTCATGATATAATAATACAATTTTTACACCAATTTGGAAACTTACTAAAACTTTTTATACTATTTAATCCCTCTTTTTAAAATTATAATGCAAATTTATATACTTTATGTATTAAAATTATTCTTGACAATCTACCAACAATGTTAAATCTTAATATATAGTATCTATATTTATATTTAACACCAAACTATACTCGATATAACTAACTAGAAAATACTTTACACATTATCAATTGTTACTATTTATCTTGGTAATTTTCTAATACCTTTCAAAACTATATACTTCAAACAGTAGAAAATTTAAATTCTAATAACAATCAATTTTTACAATCAACAACTTTTCATTAATACAAACAATATTTCAGAACTTTCTTTACAAATACTATCAATTATTTCTAATATAGTTAGTCAACAACTATTTAATCAAGTATATTCTTTTCTTCATAAATATACACAGTCTTTCTTCATCAATCTTTCTAATAATCTTCTTAATTGGTTTATAACTGAAATCTGAATCCCAAGAAATCAAACCCAATATAGTTGAGAACTTGCAAGAAATATAATACTTAAATCAAAATGTACAAAAACATACTTTTCTAGATTAATATCACATCAAAACACCACTACTATTTTTAACAACAATATTGACCAATATATTTAAAATTTACTTTTCTAAAACTTTACAATCTTCTCATATATTAATTAACTATATTATTTTTTAAAATTTTTTTTTTTACAAATTTTATAACTTTATTACTTTTATATACCCAATTAACAATTTAACCTTTATTCAAATTTTACTAAGATTTGATATATCCAAAACTAAACTAAATTCCAAAACCTCCTTTATTATACAAACTCTTTACTTCAACTACTATCTACAATACCCATACTATCGCTAACTTCACCAAAACTTTCTGCACGATACAACATTCTTAACTTTTTCAACCTCTGGGTAAATTTTCTTTTCTAATTAAGAAAATAATTTAAAACATAACCACCTTGACTACTTTCTGAATTTTGTTATGAAGCCTGATTTTGTATTTGGTCTTTTATTTCTTCCAACCTTTTTCTTATAAACTTTTTTTTATTTTACAAACTGTATAATTAATATCTTACTTAACTCTTGCAAAATATAAACCCTTTTACCAACCTATCTATATTAATAATACAAATACATACTTATTTATTTTTGAAAACCCAACTGACAAAAAATCATAGAGATAAATTTTTTTAGTCTGCTCTTTTGAAATCTTACTAACATTTTCCACAACTTCAATTTGCAATAAAAACATTTCTTCTTCTTGAGTTTAGAAGTTAAAGCTACTATTTTATTCTAAAACAAATCTTTATTTTCTTTTGAAGGCAAATCTTTTATTTCTCTTGAAAACAAACTTCTTTTAAAACTTCTCTTTAAGTGTGCTTTAAAATAACTTCATTGACTTATTTTTACTTGAAGTATAAACCAACTCTAAACAAAAACCTTAAATATATATGCAGTACAATACAAAATTATTTGACAACTAACACAAGATCAAATTAAGCAATTCATTTGGTAGATCTTATCCAAAACAAATCTTTAAAAAATGTACAAAAATGATTTTTATTATCTTGACAGTTGTAGTATAGTGGTTAGGGCGTATTGCACTGCAGGGCTATATGTTTAAATCTTCTAGTAATATGTTAGGCCTAGTATACCGAGATAGTATTACCTACTATAATATGAATATATATATATATATATTTTTCTTTCTTCTCTTATTTTAATTATTATTTATATAGCTTTTCTTTATAACTTTTTATATATCATAGCTTAAATATATAGCACTGCAGGATTATAAATTCTATTTTTTCTTTTTTTTTCTCTTACTATTTTTAATTTTAATTTTAATTTTTTTTTTCTCTAACTTCAACTTTTATTATTATTATTACTTTTCTTATATTATTCCTTTAGCTCTATTAAAACTATTTTAATCTTAATATATATATACCTTACTATTTTATATTAAACAAGATTTTCCCCTAGCCTCTCTTTAGCTAATAGTAGTTTTGTTAACTTAAATTAGCTTTAAACTAGAAAATTGAAGGTGTAATGTTACATCAAATTAGATATTTATAAAAAATCTATCTGATTAACTATTATGTATTCATGTGATACTTTGTAAAAGTTATTCTCTTTTCTATATATGATATTAACATTAATATAAAAAAAAAAACCATCAATAAAGCATTGAAGTAGTAACATAATCATCAAATTTAAAAAAACATATTTAATTAAACTTATTTAAACTATTCAATACTATTAGCATATTCGAGGCTCTTATTTTATCATGGAGCGAACCTATATCCCAAATATATATTATATTTTAAATTTGGGCTAAAAATTACGTAAAAAATGATGTAACGCTGGCAAAGTTTTGTCGATCGCGGCCATTAGCCAATCAAAATCGAGAGTCTGCCGTGACAAATTGTTTAAAACCATGTACGTACTGTAATGATAGAGTTAAAAAAATATTAAATCACTAGCACATTTTTACAAGAGGATCCCAAATTTTCGGGTTGGAATGCGTTGGCATTTTGCAATGGGTCTAGCAAATTATCAGCTGGACATTTTTTATATAATGAATGACTAGGACTTCATTAGTAAAAATTTTAGTGATCTTGGCAAAATTGATCAATTCCAGTCCTGCCGACCAGGATTCCGATGCATTCCGACCCGGAATTTTGGGATTTCCCCGTATGAATCATTAAAGCATTAAAAATTTTTAATTATACAATCAAGATCGCAACGTTTATTGAATAATTAAATGCAAAAAAATCCCCTCAATACAGGTACTTAAAATTCGATATTCATTGTTGTGAATAAATAGCAAGAAGCAACCGTCTCTTTATAAGTCTATTCAATATCAATTATATATTGTCGATTTAATCATTAATCGTTCGTACTATACATATTGACCTAATTTTAGCAGCGTTTTTTTCCTCCTTTTTTGGCAGCATGACTGAAATACATTACGACGTGTCCATGCTATCACCAACGTGCCCTGAGCCAGATTCCTTACTTTCCAATTCATTTTGATAAATATTATATTGATCACTCCATGATCCAATTTTGGTATCTTTCACGAAAGCGTCGAATTTAGGCGTACTTCCAGCTATTAAAATAAATAAATAAATTAATGAAATATCAGCAATATGAATTATAGGCGTAATTGCAACTCTAATTTGAGCTATGACAAACTACAACATGATAAATCTACCGTAAATTCTTAAAATAACAGGCCCAATAGGAAATTGCATCATCGGGAGATATTTTGAAAATTACGGTATAGATCTATTACACAAGAATGATAGCGTACCTTGTTCGGCAAGTTTGTTCAGAACTACGGCAGTTCTAACAGCAGATCGACATAATTCATTATTTTTATCGATTTCCGATTTGACTGCGTTATCTTTCATTCTATACGATAAGGTTCCTTTCAATGGTTCTACTGTTTCATCCAACCCTATTTTTAAAACAAATAGGTCTAGTTATAGAGCAATTAAATTATTGTGTTGTATATTAATGAAGTTATACAAACTTTGTGAAACAGCAGTTGGAGCAACATGGGCCAACCGTATTAACATTGTATGCGAGAGGATAGCGATATCATGTTGATCGGACAATCCTTCAATCACACGTGTAAGGAAGTTGAAAATTTCCAGCTTGTCAAGACAAGTTTCAAGCAATGTGTACATACATTCGTATGCAGACTAACATGTGAATGTTGATTTAGTACTTAAATAATCAAAAGGAGAAAATGACATACTGTAAATCAATAAACATTTGCCTTTCTGATGTCAAGACCATCATCTACTTTATGTTTAAATGGCCCCATCTCCACCATATGGATAAGAGAATCCTAAATATAGTAAAGAGAATAATTATTATACTTGTAAACAATCATCTATAAAGTAGGTCTAGATAGTTAACCTTAACGAGTGTTTCTTCATAAAGTAATGGTAATAATTGATCTAAAACATTACGAATTAAATAAGGCTTATTATGTGCGGCGGAGTTCAGTGTAGATAATGAAAGTCTCCGGACGTTCTAATGATAATATAAAACTACCATTAAAACTACGCTTAAAATAATAATATCACTTTAAAAAAACCGGTAATAAAACAAACCAAATCATTATCTTGAATCAGAGACAAGAAATCAACAATAAGAGGTCGTAGCAGCTCATCATATTCTTGGCCTTGATTAATAAAGGTGAACTTGATGGCTGTGACAACAGTGCCACGAGTTTGTGCAGAATCAGATCGAAGACGTTTCTGGAAAGTAAGATTTTATTTAGTATTTAAAAAAATAAAATAAAAATAAAATAAAAAAATAAAATGTGAAGTTCGGTTATACCTGTAATTCAGGCAGAAATTTATTTGGGTTTGCTAAGGTCAATTTTCCAAGACATTCCGCCACAACACCTCTAGTTCCTTCTTCTATATTTTCACCACTTTGAAACAATATATTCCTATGTGCATTTAAAATTCAATCATATATTACTGATGCTGACGTGAAAGTCGATATATAATTTCTGGGATTAACTATTACAAACCAAATATCATCGGCAAAAGGACCTAATGCTTTGACACCATCTTCATTAGAATATCGCGAAATAATCTAAAAAAAAAAAGGTAAATATAAATATAACCTAGGTAATAAAATTAATAAATTTTTAAGGTTCCATTTACACACCTCTTTAAGCGAATGTAGCAACAAATACCGCTTCCTTTGATCAGAGTTGATTTCTGAAATGACAATCGGTAAATATTTGCTAACATTGCCAGCACTAACATTTCCAAGTGCGAAAGCAGCGGCTGATTTGATGTCTTCAGATTGTGCTGAGAACAGAGTCAATATAGTCACATGAAGATTCGAGTGCGCACTCAAATCGCTATACCAAGAGAATTAATTAAATTAATTATTTAATAAAAATTATTGAATCTATGCACAAGTATAAATAGCGCAAAAAAAACTTTACACTTTACGCCCAATTTCACCCAAAGTCAACAAACAGAGGTATTTTATAGAGTCTGACTGGTTTTGAGCCTAGAATAAAAATCAAATAGGCATGACATCTTAATTTAATCAAGGCCGGGAATTAGCATGACAAAAACTTTACATACCGCTATTTTCCTTGAAAAGTCAATGACGGTTTGGTTACGGTATTTATTTGATGCCACACATATTGTGGCAATACATTGTGCAATCGTTGAATATGCCTGTAGATCAACGAAATTTTATGAGAAACAAAAAACGCACTTAAATAATAATTATAATATGCAGAAGTGAATAGATAAATAATCCTGCCTGCTTCGAAAGGGTTAATTGATTAGGATCTTGACTCTTTTGAATAGGAGACAATAGTCCATTCAATAGTTTATTGAAATGATCTTCATCAGTTTCAATTAAGGTACGGAATAAAATAAGCAAACTGTCCAATGCAGCCCCTTGAACGAGAGTCGACTGCACAAGTTGAAAAATTGACGGTAGAATATCATTGTTTACGGGTTCTAGTGAGGCAGGATTAGTACGTAGAACAGAAACCACTGTGTTCAATGCCAATGGTAATAGATGGAGGTCTTGGTCGGAAATATGAGGCGTTAATTCTACAAGAACATGGGAATAACTCTCTGCAGTAAGGAACTTTCCATACCTACGATTATTTATGTTCTTTAATGGTGAGAATAATATAAAGCAATATATTTACATAAAGAAGTTTAGCTATAAACGTACCGGCGCACAAATACTTCAAGGCATACTAAAGCCGCTACTTTTAGTTGACGATGATGCTTTCTAAGGAGACTCGCAACTTCCTGAATTGCACCTATTATCGCTATCTTTACATCTTCACTTTCACATATAGTACTATCGGCTATATTCGTGAAGGTCTTGACAGTAGTCAAGCGAGTAACTTCATTTCGCAGGCGTTCCAATAATATTGGCATACACACTTTAAGTTCATCTTGCAAATTATCTCCGGCTTGTGAAATAAGAACTCCCAAACACATTATAGATCGTTCTTTGACTTCTTGATCTGCATCAGGAGTTGAAAGACGCGCAATAGTAACATTATAAATGTCCAGTATGAATCTTCGGAACTCAGGATTGAGCGGTTGCACATTGTATGTTTGCGTGTTCTCCTGATATTCGATAGGACGGATGACTTTAATCAATTCAATACAGACCAAAAAGGCTTCAGATGTTATTTTATAAAAGCTATCTTGTACGGATGAAATTATTGGTGGGCATAATCGTGCAAGATACTTATGAAAAACTTGGGGTGGATGAACTTTAAACAACTGCCGAAGGAAACTTAAAGTCTCAATCTTAAGATTAGAGTTTGTGCTTGCATGATGGTGTGATGTATCTGACGATGTAGATAAAGAACTCTCAATCGCAGGTATAAAAGTATTCAGATGATTATCAAGTCCCCCATTTAATACTGTGACTAATTCTCGCAGAAGCAGAAAGCCTGTCTGTTTCGTTATAATCGATTTAGAGACAAGTTGCTTAGAAAGATTACGGCTTAGTCTCGGAACCAGGTTTCGCAGCATCTGTTTGGGGCTAGTTGCAGGCAAAATGTGTTATTATAATATTTGGCCCAATAATATAATTAAAAACAAATTATATTACCTTTCTTGTGATTCACTTGGACCAATGGCTCTTCTTCGCTTTGGCTCGTGATCGTTTTCTCTTGGAATATAACCATCCCCACCATAAACATGTGTTTGCCTGAGAAGAACAATGAATGTTTGAAGTATATCCACTCGGACAGACTCTTCTCGCTCTTTAAATCGGCTGACTAAAGCTGGTGCAACATTATTATATAGTTGAGAGAGAAGCTCGTGTCTTGTGCCGATAATAGAAGCCAGGAGTTTCGACGAAGAACGGCGCACTTTCCAAGAGATATCATCGTCATCAGAATAATCCCTATGAATGGACGTGCATATATAATAAATATTTAGGCATATCAAAATAACATATCATGATCATGTAGTACACACTCATCATCTTCCTCTTCCTCTTCATCTTCAGTTGCCATTTCCTCATCTTCGTCCATATTAGCATCATCATCATCATCTGCCATCTCATCACTGTTATAATTAGGATCATATTTCAAATATACTAAGCCAAGATCGATGATGGTGTTGATGTCTGGTGTAATTTCCGTTGGACATCGCAATACAAAAGATTCAAGCGCCTGATAATATTTTTTGAACACTGATGTTACCTAGAAACAACCAAATTTTTAAAGTATTATCATAAAATATATTCACCTGTAAACAATTTTCGCGCAATTCATCATCATTTATGTTAATATTGACGAACACCAGCGGTAGGAATTGAGGTAAATACTTTCCTAGTCGTGGAGCACTCGAGCGGCTTTAAAGTAATATCATTCTATTAATGATATTTAATCTTACATACATTGAGGATAAAGTTAAGTATTCGTACCTTAATGTACCAACGCATTGAATTAGAGTTTTTAAGTTATCTTTCTGATTTTGAGCCCTTTCAAATTCAGCCAATAATTTTTGCACAAGTTCGTTAAATAAATCATCGGGAGTATGTGTCACAAGATTACCTATAGCGTTAAGGCGGTCAATATCCTCTAACAGTAAAATGATTAATATCAAAACTCAAGCATACCAAGAGCAGTAGTAGTTCTCTTTCTAAATGCTGGGCGCGAATGGCTCAACAGAGGCACCAAAACGTTCTGAATTCGTTTTTGAGATGCTACATTGTTACCCACCGAGCTACCAAAACGAGCAAGGAGCTCGCTTAGGATATCCAAAGTATCCATTTGCACTTCATACGTGGCCTTTGACTTATATCACATTATGTTAATTATGAGTAACGGCCTATATGAATTTTACAAGGTATACTTACATTTTCTAGTTGTGAAAGAAGTTTTGGAATCAATCTCTGCACTACACTGCCAGCATTTGGTGAATTACTTGGTATTTCCACAATGACAGTTTTCAATCCTGAGACAAGGAATTTATGTATGAATGATCGTTCAGGAAATAACTTAGGATATATTATTATGTATAATATTTAATACCAATGCCAGCAATGTCACGTAATTCTTCTTTTTTCTGTGTAGCGTATTCACAAAGCTTGTCAATGATTTCAGCTAGTTGTGTTTCCCGAACTTTTTTAACAAGTGGCGCGAGACTAAATGATTTACATGATAAAAGTTATAAACGAAATTTAACAATCAACAACCCACTGTATGATAATCACCATTTAACTGCCAGGTTTTGCACCTCGCCATTAGCGTCATCCATTAGTTTTAAAACTTTTTGAACAACTTTTTTTTCATTAGTTTCGTCCAAGGTGAAGTCAGGTTTTTGAAGATCGTTCATTAAATCGTTTGCGGCCATGTACCGAAAATCGGTATCATTGGAGTCCATCTATTAATACAGTAAGAATAATATTAGAGGATGATAAAATGTTCAGATGCAAATAGAAAGTTCAATCACCTTCTCCAGTAATCCAAGCACTGTATGACTCATTTTCACTATTTCTCTTAAGAGACCAGCCGATGTGATTTGGAGGAAAAAAAAAAAGATAATATCCGATCAGATTGAAATACTGTGTTAAACGTTTTCCTTGTGCGAAATTAGTCATCCTATACGACAAAGTCTATAACTCTATACAGCAAGATTATAAGTGCCTTTTATATACTATTGCCCACCGTATCGAAAAGGAGAACAGAGTGGTTTATAATGTTCAGAAACACGAGAAATGCAAAAAACGTGTTTTCTGTTTGTTGTCTGGTGCCCGAAGCAAACGACACGCTACACAAGTAACTTTAAATATGGATAACAATACAAAAATCTTTTTATCAGCAAAGCAATGACATTTGTGTAAGACGAACAGCATTCTATTTGAAAGGACAAAATCATGATCACACGATCCTAGATTTATAGACTTTGCTCGCTACCACACCTTTTAACACACCTCTTAACAAGTACCTGCCAAATACGATCAAATAATTGAAGTGAGGTTTCAGACTTTCAGACTTATCGGAAAGAATGTATCAGAGATGAAAGGTATTGATTCTTTTGCTTGAGCGGTCGCAGTAATGTTACACGAAGTTGATATCCCGTGATCCGAAACCCGGAGTAAAAAAAAAATTACTTGTAGAATTTCTGTTGACAAAATTCACGTGAATCCATGATTCTAATCAACATAAGTACGCATTGTTATGCACATTCTTTTTTTTTAGCAGATTTTCACAATGTCAGTTTGGCAAAGGATTAAAAATGTATGTTTTCGATTTTCCACTTGCGTTTATTACTGCTAATTTTTGAACTGATAAATAGAAAATCGCACAAGAGGGTACACCAAGTAAGAGTAAACGAAAACGTGAAAAGCCAGTACCGATATATAAATCTATTAAACACTCAAAATTAAGGTAAAACACTCTAGGTATCGTTAAGAAATTGGTCTGGCCATTTGATTTTTAATAAAATGTGATTGTTGTACCAATTCTTAGTCCTAAAACATCTTATGAAGAGGTGTCATCCATCAATAAATTATGGATCGATAATATTAAACAAGATCTCGACGATTCTTTAAAAGATGGAAAGTTAAATCATCAGGCCAAGTATATATATTTATGTATTGTTCTATAATAATTTTGCGCCACGGCGCTGAATAAAAATAAATCGTCTTTAGAATTGGAAAATACGTATCAATCGATTGCGAAATGGTTGGTGTTGGCCCTGAAGGCGAAAGATCTGTACTTGCTCGAGTAACTGTGGTAAATTATCATGGTGTAGTCATATTGGATAAATATGTGCGTCCAACTGAGTATGTCACAGATTTCAGAACTGATGTTAGTGGAATCACCCCGAAGTCACTTGCTAATTGTAAGTTTCTAAAACATATCACTATTATTATCAGGACAATGTCCAATTGGATATTTGGACCTTCAGGCATTGGACAATGTCTAAATAAATTGTAAGATTATTGGACATATGTCCAATTGTCCAATAATTTTATTGGACAATTTTAATAATATGATAACAAAATCTTTTATTAGTATATACTTTTTAAATATAAAATTAATATTGGCCCGAATTAAGTTTAATTTAGGCCAAGATTAAATTAATTTTTTTTAATGTCCAATAAAAAAAGTTACTATGTCCAATCAAATTATTTAAATTATTTGGACAATTGGACATTGTCCAAATTGTCCAAATGTCCAATATTGTAACATGCCATCCCTGATTATTATGGTCTCATTTTCTGAATAAATTATACACCGTTCATTTAATACTTAGCATATAACTTCAAGGATGTCCAGTTGGAAGTGGCAAACATAATAAAAAATCGGATAGTTGTTGGTCATGCTCTTCACCATGATTTTAAGGTAATAATTAGTGTTATAAATTGTCAAAAATTTTTCAATTATTTTATTCAACTATCGATTTAATTCGATTAATCGATTAATTGACCAATCGATTAGTTGATTATTTGTTCAATCGATTAATCGATTAGTTGACCAATCGACTAATCAATTACGGTTAATAAATTAAATTCAATTTTCTTTAACTACCTAACGCTAATATCAGATATAGAAAATACATGTATTTACAATGAATATATGTACTAGTGATTTGAATCGGTTGGCCTATAATCGGTTAATCGACCCGAACCGAATAAATTTCGGTTAACCGGTCGAGGAAATTCTTAATCGGTTGGCAGGATCGAAGATGATATAAAGAGGGAGCAAAGGTTCCGAAAAGTTCTGAAAAGAAAAGTGAATAAACATAAAAGACGAGCAAGTTGAGGCAAAATTAAGCAAAAGCTACGAAAATTTCCGAAGATAAACCGAAAAGTAGAGATAGTTAATCTCAACCGATTGAATAAAATAAATTGGTTCGGTTAACTGATTAAAGAAATTTTTCTCGGTTCAAATCACTAGATATGATATGTGCTACTAGTAGTGTTACAAATTGTCAAAATTTCTTCAATCGATTAGTTGTTAAAATATTTTATTCAACTATAGATTTTATTACGGTTTGCAAAAATATGTGGAATTTGGTGATCAAAAAAAAAAAAAAAAAAGAAATCGATGATTCTGATTTCCAATATTTTTTTAGACTTTTAGATTAGACTTTAAGATTAGGCTTTAATATACATAAATTTAATAACTATATTAGATTTGAGTTTATTGAACATATTTTATAAATCTTATGTGTATTAAAGTCTAAAAAAATGTTAAAAAAATCGGAAATCAGAATCAGAAATCATTGATTTCTTTTTTATCAAATTTCACATATTTTTGCAAACCGCAATAATCAATTAGTTGCAATTATTGCGTTTTGCAAAAAGATGTGAACACTGCAGATCATTTTTTCATGTGAGAATCGGAGATTTTATAGATTTTTTGAGATTTTAAGAATTAAACTGATTTCAAAGAAATATAAACGTAACCAATAGAAAATATAAAGTAACAGACAATCTGGAATCTTAGTGATTCTCAGCCATCATCATCACTAAAATCACATGCTCACATCTTTTTGCAAAGCGCTATAATTGCAACTAATCGATTAATTGGTTTTAAAAAATAGAATCGATTAGTTTTAGTTGTCAACTTGTTCAACTAATCGATTTTTCAACTTTTGATTTGTATCACTAGTAATAATATGTATTAGTGTTTACATGATTATAAATTGATTCTTAATATTTCTTTTTTTAAAGGTACTAATGCTAGATCATCCACGCAAAATGATACGTGATACTTCGATGTATGCGCCATTTCGTCAAATTGCGCGGGGAAAAACACCCTCGTTGAAACGATTGGCGCAAGAGGAATTAGGTAGGACTATTCAAGTAGGAAAGCATTCTTCGGTAAATATATAACTTGCATTTTGTTGAATTATGTATTAAAGATTTGTCTAATGAATCATATAAATAGGTTGAAGATGCACGAGTATGCATGTTATTATATCGTAAACATAAAGTCTCATGGGAACAAATGATGCGAACAAAATTTAAATTTGGTTCAAAAAAATCTGGCCAGAAACGAAAATAAATAATCAGACATTTCCTATATCATTTTTTTAAATTCAATAATCGAAAAATTCTTCGTGTTATACCTATACTTGCTGGCAAAACTACAATTCTTCGAATCCTATCCAAACCCAAACTCCCAAATCCCATCGTATTATTGGCTGCCCGATACGAAAGTATCGGAGCAGCATTTTGTCTCGAATCGATGGTAATTGATGTTGATGCTTTATCGTGATTTATCGTATGATTCTGCCGTTTGATGCATTACAGTGATTTATTCTATGATTTTGATTCATTGTCGTGATTTATCGTATATGATTTGTATGTGATTTTATGACGTAATGACGTAGTAGGAGTACCCTAGCCATGGCTAAAGATGGGCAAGGTAATAATGTAAGTAATAATTGCTTATTTTTTACCCCAATATTTACACATATATATTATTACTAATTATTCCCTATGCGAATAATTATTACTTATCACGTTTTACAAATATAAACTGGAAGGCAAGCTTTTGTTTATATCATAATTCTTTACTTATTACGCAAAAAATATGATAACGATAAGAAATAAGAAATAATCGGAAAATAATAAATAATAATATTTTACTAAACTCGCCCATCTCTAGCCATGGCAAAAAAAGTTCGGTCATGTGACGATCCGCTCAAAAACGATTAGTGTTTTAAGCCGGCTGAAGCCAGTCAATATAAAGCTGTCGTCTGGCTAATGCGGCTAAGGGTCACCAACACATAATAAATATTTTTTTATATAATCCAAAATTTAGAGTCGAATACAATCGGAACTAGGCCGGCATTAAGCTATAATGTTAGCCAACTATATTATAACAAAATTAACGTTTGGACAATTTCAGTTTGGTTGCAGCCAGCCGACTAAAATCATGCGGGTTTGGGTCAAAATCCCAAAAATAAGAATTCCGACAGGGTCAAAATTCCTAAAAAATTGGCCAACATTAAGCTAATCTTGTTGGGATTTTGACCCTGTCAGGATTTTGTTCATCGGGATTTTGACCCAAACCCAAATCATGCGGCTTAAATCACTACCCAGAGCAACTACAAGAATTGGGGTTTATCGAATAATCTTTTTTCCCTACTGGTAGGAACCTTTGCATTGAATAAGTTACAGATGTACATTGTTCATGCAGAGGTGCGATCCGTATCCGTTTTTCATATGTAAAAACCGGTTCAAACCGGTTAAATACATATGAAAAACGGATACGGATCGCATCACTAACTACAGGTTCTTCACGAAAAATGAATACGTAGAAAACCTTGATCAGACCGATCATTATTAACACAATTCGTTCATATACATGAAAAGACAAAGCTCAATATAGGAAAACTTTATTATTATGTACGTACGTACGTACTAATTTGAATCCCTATTTTTAACACCCATATTTTTATTTTGATAAAACGTATTGAAATAAAGCGCGCTATGAACTGCTACAATTAATTTAATCATCGTTCTCATGCAAAAGTGAACTCCGAATTTTGGCTAATGCTGTCAATACACTTCGTCGTCCATTTGGCTCTGTGAGATCGAAACCAGCTTTCAAATTATTATTGGCCGGCCATCTTTGAATCTTAACTGACTGTCGTTGCGGTAGGCCTCTTTCAAGCTCATTTAGATACTTTGCAGGAATTTCAGCTTTATAAAAAGTAACGCGCGTAGATATTACACGAATTACCCATAATATCTGATCTCCATATTCCGGTATGCCAAGGGAGCGTATGTTCTCACTAACACAAGCAAGAACATCCGCAGCGATCTGCGTTTCCCCAAACCCATTACTTGCACTAATATTTCTTAAGTGTTTGTCCTGTAAAAAAGGTTGTTTTGAGTCAACAAAAATAATACCCATAAAATAGTAAAAATCAATAACAGACCTCTACTACAAGAATTGTCTTCCATATTTATTACAAACCCAAGGTTCGATAATACGTAAGGATCACCTTCAATGTATAATTTGCATGGCGGCTGATTGCTAAAATTTGAAAATTGCAATTTTAAGAATCATTGTATTTATTTATCAAAAGCAGAAGTCGAGAACCTACCGGATGTCAAAGGGCCAGTCATTCAGCTTGGCAATGCGTAATAGATCATCCACGAGTGAATCTGTAAATGACTCGATTGTACCTATTACCTGAGTATCGTGTATCCTAACTCTATGCAATTTCTTAAAGAACGTTCGAGCTTTTTTTTTTACATCCGTAAGTTCGGCGACATTTGCAACGCGGAAATTTAAATTTGAAAGCATTTCATTATCGATATTAGGTTGAATATACGTGTCTGGAATGGTAACTGGAAAAATACTTAAATTATGAATACTAGGGCTACTAAGAGGATTTTTTTGCTGGTACAATATAGCTCATACCTTTAACATCAGGAATAACAGCGTTCTCGGTTGGGGCTTCACAAAAGTTCACTCTTAATGCTTCCATATCTTTTCTTTTGAATAGGGCATAGGATTGATTTTCCGGTCACGTGATTTCGACGTCATATAAAAATTTTGCAAAGCAAACGTGATCCCGATTTTTAATTGGCTAAGGGGCAAAACATTCATTTTTGATACACCTGCACCTACTTTTTTGATACTGATCGACATGCAGATCCCGGTAAAAAATAAA